AGTGCTCATGTAATAAAATGCCTAAACATTTTGTAACGTAACCAGCACTGCAGATAGACTCAAGCAAAGCATTCCCTAGGAAAGGTATTTTAGCATTTCTCTTGAGAACTAGAAATATATTTCTAGTTCTGGCTATAATGGGGAATGGTTAGAACCTGTTTTAAGTTTTTTAATCCCTTGAGTGTCCTCACATTTTATCGCTTCCTATGCTGTGGCAGTGGTCACTGAGACAGGATGTGAAGATGAATCTATCCAATCTTAAAACCAAAAATCGTAGTTCTGGCAGCAATTCCACTTTATTGTTACACACCATTCAAACTGTAAGAAAGTATTTGGGTATATGATAATCTACAGTAATCAAGTCAATCAAGCTTCTGCATGTCAAGTTTAGTTACTCTTAATTATACAGTTACCCTGAAACATATTTTAGACTGTTGGTAATGTATGGACCAAATATCTTAATGGGATGCTTAATCTCCTCTGTTATAACTGGCTTTTCAGAATTTCAGAGTGCTTCCTCAGTTGCCAAGCAACAGTTCAGCTTGTAGGAGGTGTGTTACGACCCGTAGAGATCAAGCCCCAATCCTCCCTATGGGCTTTTTGCAGCATCATATGGATGGAGCAGAAAGGCAACTAAAAGCTACATCACTGATGGTACAAATATGAGCCATATCCCCAGAAAGCATGGGCACCATCTTAGTAACCACCACTGTGTTGTACCTAGAATTTTTTCTGTGCCACAAGCTTAAACGAGAACTATGGGGTAAGTGTTTTTCCCCATAGCTCTCTTAAGGGTCAAGGGAGGGCATATATTGGCATCCTCCCATGACCCAAAGCTCAGTATATAGTGAGCTACAGCTCCTGGTATACTGAGACCGCCGCAGCCGGGACGGCCGCCGACAATGCTGTCGAGATCCACCCAGCTGCGTGAATGACAGCTGGCTCTGCCTATCTAGAGGCAGAGTCAGCTGTACCCGTCCCCTCCCGTTCCTCCAGTCAGCGCTGGAGGATCAGAGAGGGGAGGGGGGAATCCCTGCGGGGTGCCGTGACTGACAGTCATCGCTCTCTGCAGAGAGTTGATGGAGAAGTGAGCGAGTGACGATATGCTTTCGCTCACTTGCCGATCTATTGAGCCAATGTGTGACAGTTTCATTGTCACACTTTGGCTCGAACGGTGAGGATGAGTGATTTTCACTCACCTCATAGTTCTCCATTAAGTTATTAACATTAGTTATTTGAATCTAAGATCTTGTAACATTATTAACTATAAATACACAGTACAATAATACAGCACATTTTGCCATTATGTCCGGAAGCACCCATATACAAAAAATATCTAGTGTTTTCTAGAGGTCATGTAGCCATCGTAACAATTAAACTTAGTTTAACTATTAACTCACACTACAAATCCTTGAAAAAACAACTTCAATGTCCTATGTTGGAGCTCATATTATGATAATCTAAGAAATAGGATCTCAGAATATGTTACAAACGTCTTCTACACGTACCTAATATTCCCTTGCTGAACGTTTGCTTTTATCGAGTCCTCCCAAGCATGCATTTGCTTTCCTATTTGTACATTTTCCAATTCCTAGTTTCCAAAGAATCTACATACATTTAATATTGCAGCCCAACTAGTTTCAACACATCTGAGGAGTGCGAACATTTACTGCAGATACAAGGCGTAGAACACAAGAAAATATTAGCACTCTGCAGTAGCCAATTCTTGCTGTGAACTGAAGACAGAATTCTAAAAAGAATCACCTTCTATTGTGGAAAGTCATGCAGTACATTATTAGTCATGTTGCTTTTATTGTATTTAAAGAAAACAGGGCCAAGTATATATATAACTCTGATACAAGCATAAAGTACAAAGAGCAAAACTGCATAGTGCAGATCCCAGAGCAGCTTATCAGAATCCATCTTTAAATGGCCTGACAACAACAAAGTGATTTCTAAGCAGTTGCTGTCGGTAACTGCACTGAAAATCTCTTGCCCTCTAAGTTATGCCCCTCAGCAAGCAAAGTCCTTCCTATTGCAGGATCTGTAGTTGAAAGTTTAAGTGAAATCTTTGTTGAAATGCAACATTTAGTACTTATATAATACACAATTCATGCATGTGATAACCAATAAAAAATACATTTAAAAAAGTCCGTATGCATGCTGTGCACATGCAAAGAATTTCTGACCAATTTCTGATTTAATCTCTGACATCATTAGGCAAACCTACCAAGCCTCATGCTAAAATAAACTGTTAAAAGATGAGCAGATAGCTCACTGAGCACAAAAGAGAGAAACCCTGGAGTCACTGAAGTGCCAAGACCTGCCAGAAAACATAGCCAAAGATGACAGTGGCACCACGTTTGACACTTTTGTCCTTCCTTGCTCTACATACAAAAGTGAATGATTACCCTTACTGACCACAACAAGCATCTCCGCTGGCCACAGGGCCCAATGTATGTGCTTTAGTGAAGTCAAAAGAAGCCCAATCGCTGAAAGCATTTACAAGAATGGGTAGCATTGCTTGTAACTACTGAGCTGTTTATGGCAACCTTTAGGCCTGGTTCACACCTGGACGTTTTACAGTGCGTAGGAACGCCTATGCCTATGAGCATGGTTCCCACCTGGGCGTTTTACAGCGCGTAGGAACGCGCTGCAAAATGCCCTACGCCCAAAGAAGTACAGGAGCTTCTTTGGGGCCTTTTGCCGTGCGTTTCCATTGGTATTCCCGAGTGTGGATCGGGGGTAACAAAGGGGTAACCCCGAGCCACACTCAGGAATACAGCGTACAGGTCTTACATTGTTCGCGATCCCCGCTGTGTCCTCCGGCGGCTGCCGACTTCCGGGTTCCGTCCCTTGCGAGCTTCCGCGTCGCAGGGGTGTAGCCGGAGGGAAGTTTAAAAGTGAAACTAAAAGAAAAAATGTAAATAGAGAAAATAAAAGGAAAAAAAACAATCCTACCGCCAGTGAAACGCGTGTTTCACTGAACGGAAAAACGTGCTAAAAACCGCGAAAAAAAATTAACTGAAAAAATACACTCAGGTGTGAACCCAGCCTTAGGCCATGACAGCCAGAGTTAAACTTATTCATATTGCAAGTCAACACAAGTAGATAGTCTTTTTCTTTGCTTTAAAATCAGAATGTTTTTTTTTTTACAATTACAGAAGGAATACTGTATTTTAGCAATGAGGCAAGGGTAAGATTCAGTTCAGTCCGAATATTGTGAAGTCAGAGCAGTGATATAGATGGGGCAAATAAGCAGAAACATATCATTACAAATGATCAGCAAAACTATATATTTATTAATTAAAAGCCTAACACCCTACACAAAATGCAAAGCTCATAGAAGGCAACTTGAAGTGCATACTTGCTTTATTCTGTGAAGTACTTTTTTCATCTTTTCCTATTGTTCTGTAACTCATGTGTTTATTCCCCTATATAATAATCTCTTCAGTGAAAAAATGCAGGGCCTGGTAATTTTTAGACAGATGGGTGACCAAAGGCTGCCTTATCATGCTCTCAATTAAAACTTGCAATGCTACTAAACAAATACTTTTTATATATTGGGAGGGACTAATGATAATGCTGCTGATATCTCAAAGTTACACAAACATTTTCCATGCGGTTTCCTAAACTCATAAGCTTAGAGTCCCGTAAGAGTGTACTTCTTTATTTCTTCTGTATTTAAGACTCCAACATATTCTGCAATGTTTCACAGCAATTGTGGAGCCTTGCACCTTAGCTCTTACGCCTATATATATTATATATATATATATATTTTACATACAATTTAGCATTTTTTAAAAACCAGAATACATATATTAAGTTGCTATGTTTTGATGTGTGTTGATATGCCTTTTAGGTGCTTTTTTGAAAAAAAATCAATTTAAACTGACTCAAATGAAAAACTGCAAGGTATTTTTTACCGAGCTGTCAGACATTGAGGCACAGACTCAGATTAGAAGTCAAATGCATCATTATATACACTACTCCACTATGTCAGCCACAGATTAAAGTACTGGTTCTCCACTGTTTGGCACATCTGAAACATCTGGTAGCAATATATTGTGAATGCCTCTTCCTTGAAAGCACCATTTTACTGTGTGTTATGGTGGGTGCAAGTGGCCTCTCCACAATGGCATACATATTGGGAAAATGTAAGAAATGGCATTCCAACCTTCTGTTGTACATCATGCCGCAGCTTTAGAAAGACATGCGGAAATATTTAATTCAGAACATGACCATGGTAAGAAACTGCCATCTGACTTCAGCCTTATACAGAATCCAACAATAGAACAATTTTAAAACTGAGAAAAAACTTAAGTGCCAGCAAAGAACCCAAGCAGGCAGAAGAATAACAATCTTCATGCAGATAGTTCCTGATAGGAATCAAACGCAATCCCAGTGCTGCAAATCAGCAATCCTAACCACTAAGTCTCCCTGCTGCACCGTGTAAGAATTTATATAGTCTGAACATTTTTTTCATACCCTGTCTGGGATCAAAACTCATATTTTGCAGATAGAAAAAGCAATATACAGCTAATATAAATATGAACATATGCAATGAATTAGCAATAGCATTGGTAATGTGTAACTATTTGACAACAGTATTGGTTTTATCTGTGTTGGCTGTGGTATATTTTTGAGTGTTTCCATTTTTAGTGCAAGATTGCTTTGCATAAAACAATATCTAAAGATCTCTGACCATGAACATTGATCAAGGGAAAGACTTGTAAGTAAACTTATAAACAGAGTGCTGTATTACATGTAACAAAGAATCATCACATGCAGATTAATAATATAATGGGGATACATTGTTGCACAATTGCACTGTGGTGTTATAGGTAGTAAAGACACTTCAAAACCAAAGAACTAAAAAAAATTAAAGTAAAGAAAACAGTTAAATACATTTAACTGAAAAGGAAAAAAAAAGTTATTTTTTGCTCTCATTTACAAAACAGTGTACTAAAATACAAGATTTAAGGCACACACACACGCATACATATATATCTAACCAAAAATATTTCACAATAATATACTAACATTTGAAATCTGGAAGCAGACTGTGGATATTTACGCTATCCAGTAATCAATGGATAAAATATTCTCCTATTTCCCTCTCCACCTATGTCATCACTGTGTGAAGACCGAAGAATAATCACTGTGGTGCGGTTACTGACTGAATAAAGATACTCCAAATGATCCATTAGAAAATCGTATGGTAGAAATATCAATGCAGCATGATAATTCGGCGATACAAAATATAGAGATGCAAGTCATTTGGAATGCTTTACAACCTAAAGTCCTGTGAACTCTGAATAGGAGATTATAAAAGCAGAGAGAGGTCAGACAAGAAATGTACACTAAAACCTCTATCCATTTTCATGAGTTTAGAAGATCATCAGTGAAGATCACACTAGCCCAGTTATAAAAAATAAAATAAAAGCATAGCTGAGAATTTTGCATTGTTCTTACAATTCATTGTTATATGCTGATCTCCGGGGGGTTCCAATAACACAAAAGTTGTGATCCAGTTGGGTTATATTGGCTTTAATACATGTGACAAATTAATATTTCCCCCCAGATCTTAGGGATAGCTTGAACCAGCCCATATCGGTCTTCTACAAATAAAGAAAAAAAATCCCAGTTTGAAAACTGGCTCAATCTCTCAAGAAGATCTGGCATCATTAATGTAGGTGTAGATAGTGGGCAATATGGCAGTCGTATGTCTTTTTGGTCCCCACCACTTGTGGAAGGCTTTGACAGTCTAGGAGCTGATAATCTGTCCTGACCATGTCTCATGCTTTGTGTGAGGAGACAGGTGAGTGAGAATGACTTCCACAGCTTGAAATTTCTGATTCTTAGGTGGAATCGGGCACATCTTGTATGTTACCTCATCTCCTTCAACAGGCACATATTCTCCCTCAATGCTGCAACACAATAAAACAAGAAATCAGAAGCAGATTAAATTCACATTCAGTTCAGGGAACAAAAGTTTAATATTGTACCAAGACAAGAGAAAAAACTGCAGTGGCACCAAGCAACCGAAAGTCATTTTCTAAAATGGCAGATTGTAGTTTTGCCTGTCAATGGCATCAGATGGAAAGTATGTTACTGTACTGGGAGCAAACAAACAACAAACCAAGGGTAGCAGTGCAGGCACTTTAAGGTGCCCAGACATATCATTATTAAGATACCGCAACTCTTAAGCAAAAGCTCCTTACAAGTATGGTGATGATACCGAGTATGTTTTGGCATCCTTATCTGCTCCACTAGGATTCGTTTATATTTGCCCTAGGACAGGTTTACGTGAATGTTAAAAAAACAAACAAAACAAAAACACGTAACCCCATATCTAGTTCACCTTGACCTATTTATTGTACTAGACTTGCGCACAGAATAAAAATTTGTTTCCAACAAAACGAATGAAAAGGGAAAAACCTTTTCATTCATTTAGTTTGATGAAACGAATAATTATGCTGTTTCGGATTTGGAGGCAACGAACCTCCAAGTCCGAAAGCGCACAATTGAAAAAAAACCCGTGTGGCAGTCATATTGGCCACCGGCACCTTCTGCGCATGCTTGCCGCCATCTTGGAGGAGGCGGGCGCATGACGTCACCCGATGCATGTATGTACGCGGCCATCTTGGACACGGCAAGATGCAGGTGCCCATACAAAATACGAAATAATATATGCCCCAATATAGTTTTTCGTATATTCTGGCATATATTAAATTTGTTATTTCGAATTCGGATGAACTGCCGAATCAACAGTATTTTGTCATTCAGCAAGTTTGTCCAAATCCGAATGCACGTGTCTATATATTACCCTTTCTTAACACCTTGTCTTGTAGGCCATGAGTGCTGTGTCAGACTTTTTGCCATTTTTGACAGTCTTTTGCCATTGCTGATTTCAAATGGTTTCTATTTTGTTGAAAAACAACACCAAATAAAAAAAAAATTTGAAAGAAAAAACAAACAAAAATTATCCACTGGGGTTAATTTACTAAAAGCAAATAGGCTTTTTCCTTTGTAAGGTAATTTGTCCTTTGCTTAGTGAATGTGGTGAAGATCTGCTGACCTTCATCATCATCCAACAATGTACAAGCAAAAATAGTTTAAAAAAAAATATTCCTTGCATGTGATTGAGTGTTCTTTGTAAAGTGAATATTCACCACATTGATTCAGAAAAGTGAAAATTCCATTGCAAGTGAACAGCCTATTTGCCTTTAGTAAACCCACGCTTCCCACTAAAAGCCCATCTCTGTTTTTTGTTGCACAAGTCAGAAAATGTCCCCATTTACCCCCTTAAGGCAGAAGCTGGCTGCACTGCAATGTGCCCATACAGTCAATGCAGAATATCATTTAAAAAAATGATCTGTATCAAATCCTTCTCAGCATGTGATATTTGAATGCCTTTATTAATAATATAGTGTATAGTGTTGTCACTTTTTGCAAAGCGTAGCAACTACAGAAAAGTGTAGTGATCCACCCGAGCTAACATCGGACTCAGGCAGGCAGATCAGTTTGTTGTTCCCAATTGCAAAGTGCCCTGTGCAAAGAAAGCAATAGCAAGTAAAGGCCCATTCATATGTGCGTTTACCTGCATGTTTCCCCACTAGATGAATGCTGTTAAACAACACAATGACACAAAGAAAACAATTGTTTTCTGTCATGTTATCACTACAATACTGCGATTATGTGCATTAAAATGCAAACATGTTGCATTTAAACGCATTAAAACGCAATGCAACTAACGAAAAACATTTTTTCAACTTATAATTTGGCCCAAAACAGGAACAGAAATGTTGTCAGGGGAAATTGACCTTTAAAAACACATATACAAAAATGCATATATACACAGCTAAACGTGCTTGTCAATGCATAGGAACTGATATAAATGCAGCTCAAAGCAGATACGCTTTTACTCTGTTCTTAAGAACGTCCCAGTTTAGAACTTAAGAACTATTGACAGTTAAAGAGAGTAGAATATGCTACAGAAAAATAACAAATCCCACTTTAAAATGTATTTTTTCATAACAATGAATAAAGCAATATAGCAAACATACAAAGTAGGTCTACACTTTCCTTGCTGTAAGCACAGAGCACGTTTCTCATTTTGGCTCTTGTAACGCAACTCTGAATATTCTGGTAGTTATCTGTTCCCTGTGACACAGGTTTTACATTGTTTACAAAGGGGGAAAAAAACACCTCTGTCCATGACCTGACCACGGAGCATGTGAGGCTGCTAAGACTTTTCACACACAACAGTCCTCCACCCTCTGGTGTCCATGCCCTGAGTTTTCTTACACCCACTAAAAATACAGTGTACGTGAAGACAATTTTTAATTAGATTTTTTGATAGGGTGAGGAAGGGTGGAACCCCTTTCAGATGTTTACTACTATCCAGGACCCCATTAGAGAGGATTTTCCCTCACTTTCCTGTGACAATGGTTTTACCAGACAGGAAGGGAGGGCAAATCTACAACAGGGACATGGTGTGACACAATACATATATACAATAAAAAGCTGACAAGGGTTCCAGCTTTCCTCTAATCAACTTTTTAAAAAAAGGATGTTTTTTTTTCTGTTCGTGTTGCTCTTGGAAATTTGCCCTCACATCCTGCCTGATGAAGCGGTTTTCACTGGGGAATTGTTTTCCAATGAAACCCCAGATATTAGTAAAAGCCATTCAGATGTTCTAAATCTTGTCCAATTTATCTAATTCTGAAAAAAAATTAAAATGTTTTGGACATGGACACATTTGAAGCCTCTGATCCAAGGACCATGGCACCTGGTGTATCAAAGTGGACCTGGCCCTTCCCTGATTAAATGATCACCATCTTAGACATTCATGAGCTGTCTGTCTGCTTCTTCACTGGCTGCTGGGCAAACTCCAGAAGAGATGTTAAGGCAATAGGATGGGTGTGCTCTATTTTGAACAAATGTGGCTTGCAGTTATGCTCATTTCTAGTAGATAGCAATAGAAGATAATTGGAATTAACTTTACTGTAGTCACATAATGAACAAAATGGAAGTTAAAGTGACATTAAACCCTCAGATTTTTTAACATAAAACAATACTGTAATGTGTGCCTTACTGTAATCCATGGTTGTTTCCCTTCTCTTTGATGCTCTTCCTTTTAAATCTGTATCTGTTCTCATGCTTGGAGAGAACTTCCCTTTGCAGCTCAGGGCCTCTTCCTGTAGTGCTGGCTCAGGTTACAGCCTATAGAAACGTATACACAGACACCGTTTGAGACAAGGCAGTCTGCTGAAAAGGGAAGTTCTCTCCAAGCATGAGAACAGATACAGATTTAAAAGGAAGAGCATCAAAGAGAAGGGAAACAACCATGGATTACAGTAAGGCACACATTACAGTATTGTTTTATGTTAAAAAATCTGAGGGTTTAATGTCACTTTAACTGAATGCCAAATGTTACTTTACTTTGCCTGTAGTTGCTGCACTTTGCACTTACCTTGACAGGTCTTTAAAGAAGAACTCCAGGCAAAAAACTTTTATTAACACTTACACTATAGCTGTAATTGTTCATACTTCAAGTCTGTTTCCTATTTAAAGTGGACACAATAACTTCAATTTAAATATATTCATCAATATACAGGATATAATTCTACTTTGTGTGCACCAAATGCCTTTGGAAACCCAGACATAGTTAACACTGTGCCAATTATAACCTGTGTAGAGAAGAGAAATGTGGAAGGGACCCGGCAGGCTGCCTCAAGAAAAGGACAGGAAGGGCAGACACAAGGCCAGTCACTCTGCACAAGAAGACAGAGCAGCAGTGAGTGGTCTTAATTACAGTAAGCTTGTGCACAGAGGTAAAGTTTCACACTATTTAACTGCACAGATATTGAAAAAATATACAAAACACATCTAGATTTGAGTAAGAAAACTGCCTTTATGTAGACATATAACGACAGGAAATCTACATTTATAATAGCACGGTGCACTTGAAAATGTTGCCACTACATGAAGTGTGAAAAGCTTGCAGCTTGAAAGCAAAAAAACAATTAGAACCCTGAAAAATGTGGTGTGTATGTGCCATAAAATGTAATCTATATTTACCTCAGAGCTCAGTTAATCTCTAGTTTCAGAGTTGCCTTGTCTGCGATCAATGCAAACCAAGCTGACTTCTTCCCAGGCACAAAACATTATGTGATTAAACCTTTGTAAATATGTAAACATACTGTGCCCATCTGTTCCTACCTAAATGTTTCAGCAAAGTAAAAACCATCCTGAACATCCCTATGGAAATACTCTGCATAGACATGCGTAGACATTGTTACACATGGGTAGACATTGTTTTTTTGGATTAATATACTCAAATTGAGCCTGAAATAGGCAGAACACTTACTCAGAAATGTGCACATATATATCATCTGTTCCACTCTCCGGAGTGATGAACCCATGTCCCTGGGATCGGGAAAACTGCTTGCAGACACCTTTGTAAATAGGTCCTGCAGAAGCCCGGGCAGTTCTAAAAGAAACCATTGAAAAGAAAACCAGTGATATATATACAGTCAAATGTGTGCAAAGTATGACATTTTTTTTTGAGAAGAACTAAGTGGTAAGAGAGAAGTAACAAATCCTAAATAAATAGGAGATGAATGATGGCAAATAGTTTTGTTTCCTTTTGGATGTTTGGTTGTTTTGTTTTTCAGGATTTGGGTCTGAAAGTCAATTTGGTCAAGTATTTGGATGCGGATGGATCTGAATTTTCATACATTTTGGATGATTCATTGCAGAAATGTGACATAAAATGTTTACTTGGTTACTTTTTAATTTCTGACACTCTACAGAAACAAAAAACAAAAAGCAGTGTGGGGTCCCCCCAATTCATAACAGACCCTTTAAGTCTGGTAGGAATGTTAGGGGGGCCCCGATGTGAAGGAAAAAAAAGTGTGCGGTTCCCCGTCAATTAATAGCAGATCCTTTAGGTCTGTTAGGAATTTTAAAGGGAACCTCAACACCTGTCAGAGACCTGCTGCTTCTGCGCATGCGCCAAGCCGGGCTTCCCGTAATGGCCCTGTGCGCATGCGCGAGCCAAGGTTTGTCCGCGGAAAAACGCGCCAAAAGGCGCACAGGAAGTGACGCTCTCCAGATCATTTCTTCCCTATTTAAACCCAGACTCCACACCTATTCATTGCTGGATTGTCTCTTCAACAGCCCTGACGTCTCCTGATCCTTGTTTCCAGTACCTTCGCTTATTGACCCGGATTGACTTTGACCTTGTTTGCCTGCAGCCTGCCTTTGACCTCGGGAACGTTTGACCATTCTTGCTTGCCTATACCCTTGACCTCGGATTGCTTACTAGACTGCCTACGCCTGCTTCCTTTTGTACCTGCTCTGCCTGCTCGGTGTGACCTCGGCCTGTTGACCTCGGATATCAAGATCTACAAAACTCTGCTACAAAACCAGGGATTGGCCGGCACGGTGTTACAGCCTCTGGCCCTCCTGCCACTCACTGTCTCTAAGGACTCTGTCCCCAATACCAGAGTCCCTAGGACATGAGCTGCAAGGGAAGCCTCCTCCTACATCCAGTCTCCACACAGGTACGTGATAATGCCAAAAAAATGAAAAAAAACAAACGGGGTCCCCCCTAAAATGCCTTACCAGACCCTTAATCCAGGCAGCAGCCTGGCAGGGCAGAAAAGGGGGGCACCATAAAGGGGGCACCCAGATGCTGCCCCTCCCTTGTGAATGAGAAAGAGGTAGTTACTACTACCCCTACTCATTCACTAAAGGGTTAAATAAAATGTAAATAAACACACCACAAAAATCCTTTATTTGAACAAAAAGCAAAAAACTAAAATTTTTGACAATTCCTTTATTTAAAATTGTTTAAAAAAATATCCCATGAAGTCATTTCAGCATCGGCCGACAAATGAAAAAAATCCCCAACAATTCTCAATGCAATGTTTACATAAGGCAGTGGGCAGAAACAAAGCCTGCTATTGGGTATTTAAAATTGAAATAGCCAATAGCAGGCTGGCTAATGCTCCGCCCACTGCTTGATGTCAGACAGAGGAGCGGACTTGAGAGAGAACTTTCTCTCTCAGGTATGCTCCTTTGCAGGAGCAATAGCCATTCTGCTATTGACCATTTTAAATTGCAATAGAGAATAGCAGCCTGGCTATTGCTCTGCCCTCTGCCTTCTGTCAGAGAGAATGTTCTCTTTCAGGTCTGCTCCTCTGCTGATTGACAGCCTGCTATTGGCTATTTCAATTTTAAATGTCCAATAGCAGGCTATGTTTATTTCTGCCCACTGCCGATGTAAACATTGCATCGGAGAGTTTTTTTTGAGTTTTTTCGTTTGTCAGCCGACGCTGGAATGACTTTGTGGGACTTTTTATAAAAGAATTTTAAGTAAAGGAATATGCTTTTTGCTCAATTAAAGGATTTTTTTTAAAGGCGTTGTGTGTTTATTTACACTTTATTTAACCCTTTAGTGACTGAGTAGGGGTACAAGTACCCCATACTCATTCACAAGGAAAGGGGCGGCATCTTGGTCCAAGGGGGGACCCAGATGCAGATGAGCCCCACAGCCTGCAGGCCCCCACAGCCACTGGGTCAGGGTGGTGGGCAAGAGGTCCCTGTCCCCATTGCATGGGGACAAGGTGCTTTTCCAGGGGGTCCCCCTCCCAATGCCGAGAGCATATGGCCTGAGATGGTGGAGGCCAGGGGGGATGTGGAGGAGGGAGCGCCTTGCCAGGCTGCTGCCCGGATTAAGGGTCTGGTATTGGATTTTAGGGGGGACCCCACATTTTTTTCATTTTGTTGTGTGTTGGGGTTCCCCTTAAAATTCCTACCAGACCTAAAAGGGTCAGGTATGAATTGTCAGGGGAACCACACGTTGTTGTTTTTTTTGCTTCTGTGAACAGTTAAAGGAGAACTATGGGGTAAGTGTTTCTCCCTATAAATTCTCCTAAGGGTCACGGGAGGACATAAACTGGCGTCCTACCGTGACCCAAAAATCAGTATATCGCGAGCTACAGCTCGCGGTATACTGAGACCGCCGGAGTCGGCGACGGATCCCCACTGTCGAGATCCACCCAGCTGCATGATTGACAGCTCGCTCTGCCTATCTAGAGACAGAGCCAGCTGTACGCTGCACCCAGTTTCCGCTGCACCCAGTTTCCGCTGCACCCAGTTTCATTGGACGTACTTTAAGTACTCTCAGGAATATCAATCTCTGTCTTTTAAACTGGGGCTGTAGGGGCGGAGAGTGGAGGGGGAACCTAGTTGTGTCGCTTCTACCTCTCTGTTTCATTCTTCCACCTCCCCCCTTTTTCTTTGTTTCTATATATTCCCCTATCCTTTCTTATGCTTCTTCTTTACCATTTCTCCTTACTGCTCTTTCCTTCTGCATTTCTGTTTACTTTGAAATATGTTTATCGTTTTTAAAAATTGGATGGCGACATTCGAGTCTTTCTTACCCATATGCTAGCTGCCAGTATCTGTCCTCATCTCATGCTCTACAAGGATGTAATGTAGGCTCTACGATCGAGATGTTTTATATTATCTGTCACTATTTGTGTGATACCGCTAACTGGCTTAAACTCTTAATGTTCAGGGCAGTATGTCTCTGCCCTGAATAAATAAAGAATTTTTTTTTAAAAAGAGAAGAAAAGAGAAAAAACATTGGACTAAACTACAGCCAGCACTAGTAGGATTCTAGGCATGCGTGTCCCTTTTCCCCAAGTGTGCAATATGCTTGGTGGAGATCATCTGTCTCTGGAGGGCATAACAATATCAAGGTAAGTACTTTGGGCTTTATCTCAGGCATTTACTGATAGGTCTGGTAAAAAAAAAAAGCACACCATTTATACTTACTATGGTAGAGCTTAGTAGATTTGACCTAGTTTGTTTTAAACTAACCTTTTTCTGATGTCTTCTGGCTGGCCACATGACACGTAACGTCCTCTTTCTCTTTGGAGAAGTCCAGGCAGTGGGCAGTCCTGGATGACACAGAGCAGTGCCACTCTCTGAATCAACAGACTCTTGTGAAAGCTCAGGGTTGGGGTCATGATGTCCTCCACTCACAGTCTTTCCTCAAGCATCTGGGTTGATTGACCACTGTCATTATTCAACCCAGAAGAGTGAGGCTTGCTTGTGGGAAATTAAAAGGTACTTCAGGAGGGACAGCCCTGGATTGCAGGTAGGACTCTTTTTTTAACATTTAGGGTGACATTAAAAAAAAGTAGCTTAAAGTTGGACTTTAAGTGCTCTTAAAAGAACCCTTACACTCATAAACCTCTTCTCAAAGGTTACATTTAACTTTTGTGTTTTAAGGGCCTGTTCACACAAGCTGCATGGTAAAATGCAGCATTTTACTGTGCTGCTAGTGTTCGCCGGGCGACAGCAGTTATTCGCGATGCCTTGCAATGTTGCAACGCAGGGCACAGTTTACTTCTTTTTTCTTTAACTTTATTTTGAGTGTACAAACTGTACACTCCATTCTGGTTCCGGCACAGCAGCACGGGGTACTGCACTGCGGTGTGTTGACCTGTGTTGCCATCCAGTGGGCTGTGGAAAAATGCAGAGCACTGCAGATCACAACTGCGTTGTAGTGTGAACAGGGCAAATAGAAAACAATTATTTCCTGTGTGTCCTTGCCGCACAATTGTGAACGGCCCTAAACAATAGGCCAGTCTTGAAAGTTAACAGGAGAAAATAAAAATTATGAGAAAACTCCTATGATACATACGCTGAATATGTTCGGGTTCTTTTTGTTGGAAGTGGGCTGGGAAGCTCTCCTAAAAGAAGATGATTCCTCTCCCAGAGTCGGCTTCCCTCTCTATGGAAAGGATATGATGGGGTGACTGGTGACTTTGGCGACTGAAGAGGTTGTGGTGGAGTAGTGGAGTTAGAGGACATGTTGGCGTATATCACGATGTATCTAGTCACCTAAAAAAAAGTAAAAAAAAGTTTAATAATAATTAATAACTGTAATTATTAATATAGTAATTGTGATTGTTCCTACAAAGAATCAACAACAAAACACCAAATCAAAAAATATGAGTGTATTGAGCAAACCCCCGCCCCCCCCAAAAAAAAATAAATAATAATATAAACCTAGAATATACACTAAAAGCATTGCATATTTGACAGTAACACAATATAATAATATACCTTGCCTATGCAGTCTGTAATAGCTCCCCCCAAACCATTCCTTCACAGCTCCATCCTTCTTTGAAGCTGTCAGACACTAGGGGGAGCAGTAATGTCACTTCCCCTGTCATGTGACCAAACTATTTATCTATTGCAGTTACTTATATAGCGCAGTTCAGGGGCGGAACTACCGGCGGTGCAGCCGGTGCGGGTGCCCAAGGCAGTTGAGGGTCCGGTCCCCAACGTCTTCCAGTCTGTAGGGAGGAACACTAGCAGGGGGACTGAGCGGGTGCCCTTTGAAAACGGCCGCTACAGCGGCGATCACTCTTCTCATTGAGAGGAGAGAGCTGAGGAGAGTGATCGCCGCTCTCGATCACTGAAGGCGGCACACAGTAGTGACAGCTGTACACATTCTTCTCCTCCTCAGCGGCTGCAGCCACAGAGCGGTCAAGGTGAGAAGAATCTGTGCAGCTGTCACTACCAGGGGCGTAGACAAGAGGGGGATGGTGTCCTAGCTGTGGCATAGCGAGGGGGGGCAGAGGGGGCCATGTGCCCCGGGCTTTAAATCATTTTTAGACGGGCATGGAACAAGCCCGTCTAAAGGGATGCCGGTGATGTCCCGTTTGCTAAAACATCGGTGACAATGTCACTGAAAAATAATGTTTTTCAGTGAAGCGGATGTTTTATTAAACAGGACATCCCCGGCATCCCTTCAGTCATGCAATTGCTTTGCCTGGCCCTGGATGCTCTGTACATGCCTCAGTGCGGGCTCTGCCTTTCCAGTGACAAAGAGCAGAAGGGCTGCACGGAGACAGAGAGGGCAATCAGGCAGCAGGGGCTGGGGGGCCCGGGGACCCTTACATGGGTATCGGCAGTACAGGTGACACATGAGGTGGAGGCGGCCGGGCCGGGCCCCCGCGGTTCCGGACTGCATCGGAGGAGGCCGTGCCCCAGATGCGGTGGAGGAGGCTGGGGCCCCAGCTGCTCCAGGATAGTGGCAAGAGATGGCGGCGGGCGCCTGGCAGTGAGGAGAGAGCTGGTGGGAGGCGAAATCACATCAGCCTGCAGGCACACTCTGGGGCAGCGCTGGGGCCTCGGCCAGGAGGAACGAGCAGCAGACACTGGATTTCACAGCCCACCACCTCTTCCTGCTGCATGTGTTCACACCGCGAGGGCAGTCAAACGAGGTATGTGCCTTAAGTCACATTGTTTGTAACCCTCTGTAACTGATGGAATTGTTCTGCATAAAGTCTTGCTGGGAGTTGTAGCCCTCTATAGCTGGTATTAGCTATAGAGGACTACAACTCCCAGCAAGACTTTATACAGAAATGCAGAATGGTAACAGCTATAGAGGACTACAACATCCAGCAGAACTTTATACGGCAATGCAGAATTGCAAACGCTGTATAAAATATTGATGGGAGTTGCAGGCCTCTGTAGCCAAAGCCATTATCCATTGCCATATTGCTGGGAGTTGTAGTCCTCTATAGCAGTGGTCCACAGCCTTTTTGGAATCAGGACCGGTTTAGCTGAAATTTTTTTTCCACGAAGCAAGAGGGCGGGGGATGGGTGGTATGTGAGGGGAGAGATGGTTTGGGGATGTTTCAAGCACATTTATTGTGCACTTTATTTCTATTATTATTACACTGTAATATATAATGAGATTATTATACAAGTCAACATATTGTAGAATCAGTGGGAGTCCTGAGCTTGTTTTTCTGCTCTCAGGTGGCCATTGCGGGCTCTCAGGTGGCCAGTGTGGGCTTTTTGGTGGCCAGTGTGGGCTTTCAGGTGGTCAGTTGGCCAGTATGGCATTGTAAGAGCCGGGAGGGGGGCCCGAAAAAAAATCTTGCACCAGGGCCCTTTGATCCTTAGGTCCGCCACTGGCGCAGTTAATTTATGCAGCACTTTACATACTATCCATTTTCAACAATCCTGCCCTCAAGGATCTTAGGCTGGGTTCACACTTGGGCATTCGTAATATGCGCGTTTGACGCGCGTTACGGGCCACGCGTTTTTACCGCGATATGCAGTCAACGAAACGTGTGACAAACGCGCGTTTACAATGGCTATCCAGCTGTAACCTAATGGATACGCGCGGAAATTACGCCCCAAAGAAGCTCCTGTACTTCTTTGGGCGTGGGGCGTTTTTCAGCGCGTTCCTACGCGCTGAAATACGCCCAGGTGGGAACCATGCCCATAAGAAATAATGGGATTTCACTTGCTGGGCGTTTTACAGCGCGTCGATCAGCGCTGTAAAACGTCCAGGTGTGAACCAGGCCTTATAGTTTAAGATTCCTATAGCTCATAGTTTAAGGTACACACACACTCATTTAAACAGCAGACAACTAACCTACCAGCATGTCTTTGAAGAGTGGGAGGAAAATGGAAAATCCACTCAGGTACAGGGAGGACGTGCAAACTATATGAAGATAGTGTCCTACCTTGGATTCAAGCCAAGGACCTTAGGGCTGCAAAGCAGATGTCCTCACTACTAAGTCACTGTGCTGCTCATACTTTATATGCTCATATTTTACTCGACCCAATACTTCTCCTTTCATAACAAGTGTCTGAAACAGATTTAGCCTCAACTGGAGCACAGCAAATCAGTTTTTAAATTTTGTGGCGAAAATGAAAGCTAGAAACTGATTGGTTGCCATGTGCAGCCGCACCAGTTGAGAACTTTTTATTGATTCTCCTCCATGTGCACAAAACCATAACTTCTAGGAATCATTTAGAATTTTTCCATAAAACAAATGGACAAACCTTCCCATTTCCTGTTTCTTTTCATGAATCACCCCTTAGTATTTGATTCTAAGATATATTTTATAATATAAGGAAGGGCTTGTGTTCAAATCTAAAAACCTACCTTCTTAGAATCATTTTAGCCTCTGCTTGTAATCACACCACAGACTACAATGTCCTGAAATCCAAAAAGTTGTTTCATTTACTTGTAATCAGTTATTATTTTACACCTTATGCTCGGGTATCTGAGGGAAGTATTCATTTTATAAATGTTATCAGGCTGATAGCTGAGTGAGCATTATAGATTATTAGGTAAAAAAATCTGCACGTTTAATGCCTGTACTGTCATAACCTTCTGGCAACATGAAGATTAGGATCTATGATCTTATTTAGAAGGCAGCTGTTTGAACCCATGCGCTTTGCCGAGTCACACAAGTCCCCACATGCCAATTATTTAGGAAAAACTTGCTGCTCAATCCCTTTCAGGCACCCTTTGCTAGCACAAACTGTTGCTTCTGTCAGTGTTTACATTTCCACATTTGTCATTACTGGCAAATTCTTAAAGGAAAATGCCACCTTTTAGAAAAAAAAAATAGACACTTCTTCATAGTGTCTTCTTCATGTTACTATCAACTCTCAAGCAACCAGAAACTACAGTTATCCGGCATCTACTGATGTCCATTCCATCTGATATTTTTTAAATGCCACCTTCTTCTTATTGATAAGTTGTTCCACCCTGCTAAAGCAAGTCCGCTTATCCTCAGTGTTCTTTGTTAGAAATAGTTGATCCCATTTGATATCATGTATTAAGGATTGCAGCTTGTTGATGTTTGCCTTTTTGAACTTTAGAGTTCACGTCAAGCCAACCTGCCTTTCTCTTCTGTAACCTACTGTGAACGTGATCACCCTGTGATCGCTGTTGCCCAAGTTTTCCCGTGTTGCTATAGCTGCAACTATCTCTGTATTATTTGATATCATGAGATCTAATATTACATTTTTCCTAGTTGGGATTTCTATCATCTGCTCCATGGAACTGTCCCTCAATAGGTTCAGGAAACAGCAAGCCTTGGTTGAGTGTGCGGTTCCTTTATATATTCCATTAACACTAACAACGATGATTGGTGCTTTTTTGGGCTGGATGGGGCTTATTTTATTCCATCAACATCAGTGATTGGGGCTTATTTTATTCCTACTCCTACCTATTTTACTCCTACTGACACCAACTGGGGCTCATTTTACTCCTACTCCTACTGTTTATGTTATCATACTGGCACTAACAATAGGGGCTTATTTTGTCCTGTTGACACCAAACATTTGCACTTACTTTACTCACACTAACACCAATAATGGGGCTTATTTTGCTAATACTAATGATAGAACATTTTCCCCCACACTTTTTCACTGTATCCTAGGCCCTGTTTGTATAAAACACCCTCAGCATCTCAGCACTATAATTGCATTTATAATTGATATTTGAATGCAATTATAATTGATATTTCTGACTGCATGTTGAAAATCTAACTTTGCATGGGAATTGTGGCAAAGGTTGGAGCATTTACCATGTGAAGAAGAGGATTTTGTAAGTCCTGCACTTTGAGAGATGTTAGCTATTACCAGCATTGTCTACATGGGGATATGTTTTTATTGTATTTGGAATCGGAGCATTTCTACGGTGAAGTGAGTTCCTTGGAAAATCATACCCCTAATCAGCTAAACTCTATATTTAAATCAGTCACACTCACATTTTTCTGTTTGCTTGATCACCCTGGGCTGACATCTCTGCACCCTTCTCCTCCAATACATCATTGCCGTACAGAATGTACAACAAATATGTAATTTCAAGTTTATGAGATTGGCTCACTCCTTTTGCTAGTCGATACAAGCAAGTTTAATTTTTGGTGATTACGAATTGCCAAAAGGATGCAGATGCTGCAGTAACTCTGAGATTGTACAGACGTGCAAGGCAGACCCTCCGATTTACAAACTACACTTTAATACCGGTATGAACCCTAACTGGATTACATTTAGGTTGCTATAGCACAGCGTACTATAAACAACTGCCATTTTGTTTTCTTTTTGAATACACCGTTTTATTTTTTTCTGTCCTTTGTCAATCTCAGTGCTGCTGATATTTTGCAGCCTCTTTACAACCACTTTTGTATACATGCATGAGCTTTAGGGATGATTGCAATATCATTGATCAGGGCGGCTTCCCGATATTGACAACTGTGGAACATGATTGGCTTGCACTGATTTTTTTTAGGTCAGCCAATAGAATATAAAAAACAAACACAACTGCAGCCAATGGGGAAAGGAGGGATCAAGGAAGATAAAGTAAAATCGAGTGAAAAGAGTGAAAGTAAGGGCTGAGGCAGCATAGACCTGAGGAGAAATGGCTGGCGGCGGGGCAGAAGAGGGAGCCGTGACATCCAGGAAGGCCGAAGATCGCCGGCGGCTCTGTCTGTGCGTGCTGAGTGGGTCAGGATGGAGAGCGGGAGGATCGGTAAACGTGTAATATTTACTGATCCTCTGTGTGCAGAGCAACCACTGGAGTGATCAGCTGATCACTCCAATGTTTGTAAACAACTGTCCCCACATAGTTACTACACAAAGGTGAAGTTGCACACTGGATTACTGCACAGATCTGGAAGCAATACGTGAAGCACACCACGATTCAAGTAAGAATACACATGCCTCTTGTATACAAGCAATATCTGCTTATCCCAGAGTTCAGCTTTAAATGGAAAGCTTAATGTGCTGACCTTGTCTTACAGACCACTAACCTCTTTAGACTGGTTGAATGTGGGTGAACTGAAGTGTGTGCCTACTGTGGCTAGTGAGTGTATATAGTAACAAAACTTGCTAACCAGTCCTCCGAGTTACTAACAGTTGATCAGAAATCACACTCTCCCATTGGATTCTCATTGATATAGTATTAACTAAAACCTAGGAAGACAAGCAGCGGGCGAATAACACCTATAGTATGTCACTATACGAGAAGGCGCAAACTATTGTAGTGAAATTGTGTTGCAGAAGTCTTCTAGAGACGAAAAAGGCCAGCTGCTAATTCAATCCATTTGTGCCCATGTAGAACAGAAATATCACCTCACCTAAAGTATATCTAAAGCCAAAACTATTTTTCCCTATTTTGGATAGAGTAGAGAATTGATAAAACCCTGTCCCATTTGTTTTACCATCCATGTCCTGTTCAATAGATATGTCTTTACTCCCTGTCCTGTAGACATAACTGGTAGTAAGAGGTAATCTCTCCAAAATGAGGTAAATGTCCTCTTAGAGAGTTGTCACCAGATCATGTGTCCCCCACTAGATTACTTCCCCTCTATTCCAGAAACTCAAAAGCGTAGATTTTGTCTCAGTTTGATTCCCAGGTACAATAGTCAGCAGGACAAATAGAGAAGGTGAATCTATAAATAAAACTGACAGAGGTTCTAACCCCCTGGTGTCCAACCTGCGGCCCAGGGGCTACATGTGGACTTTGGCACATAATGTGTAGCCCTCAGGGCCCCTGCAGACAGTAGTCTGTTTTGGTGCATACTCAGGACAGTAAAGGAAACACATTTAGAGTGGATTAATATTTAATGGTTTGCTTGATTTCGTTCACACTAGTCTTCCTTTTTTCTCTGCTGTTCATCCCTTTTTTTTTAGGTTTTAATATTTCTTTTCATCTTTTACATTAGACCTTGCTGAGAGAAATGTCAAATGTGGAAACATTGATTTGTAAAAGGGGCTGTAATAGCACTGATCTCTAGCAGTCTCATTTTACAAGTCTCCAGTCTATAACTGTCTCCTAACGTATGTCCCAGTCTCCAACAACACCTGTAGTTTGCAGTCTCTGACCATCTCCTGTTATATATGTTCACTCTCTGGTTATCACTTGTAGCATTCCCCTAGTCTTTAACTATTTACTGTTGCATGTCTTCAGTCTCTGATCATGTCTTGAAGCATTCCCCTAATCTTTGACCATCTCCTGTTGCATGTCCTAATTTTCTGATCATCTTTTGTAGCATCTACTAGTCTTTGACATCCCCTGTTGCATGTATTCAATGTCTGATCATCTGTTATAGCATCTACTAGTCTTTAAAGGAGAACTATAAGGTGAGTGAAAATCACTCAGCCTCATAGTTCGAGCCAATGTGTGACAATAAAACTGTTACACGTCGGCTCAATAGATCGGGAAGTGAGTGAACACATACCATTGCTCACACACTTCTCGATCATCTCCCTGCAGACAGCCGCGACTGTCACTCACGGCTCCCTGCAGGGATCCCTCCCCTATCCGATCCTCCAGCGCTGACTGGCGGAACGGATGGGGGAGGGGGCGGGTACAGCTGGCTCTGCCTCTACATAGGCAGAGCCAGCTGTCAATCACAAAGCTGGGTGGATCTTGACAATAATGTCGGGATCCGTCCCGGCTGCGGTGGTCTCAGTATACCGCGAGCTATAGCTCGCAGTATACTAAGCTTTGGGTCACGGGAGGACGCTAGTTTGTGTGCTCCCGTGACCCTTAGAAGAACTATGAGGAAAAACACATACCCCATAGTTCTCCTTTAGCCATCTGATGTTGCATGTCTTCAGTCTATGATCATCTCTTATAGCGGTGTGGGCAAACTCCAGCTGTGGTGAAACTGTGAGAATCTTGCAATGCCTAATGGAATTTGTAGTTCTACAACAGCTGGATGCCTGGAGTTTGCCCACTCCTGTCTTATAGCTTTCCTCTGGTCTTTAACCATCTCCTGTTGCATGTCTTTAGTCTCTGATCATCTCTTATAGCGGGGTGGGCGAACTCTGAACCTCACGCTGTTGTGAAACTTCAAATCCCATCATGTATCTGTCTCTGGGAGTCATGCCTGTAGCTGAAAATCTTGCAATGCCTCATGGTATTTGTAGTTCCACAACAGCTGGAGGGCCGGAGTTTGCCCAACCCTGTCTCATAGCTTTCCTCTAGTCTTTAACCATCTCCCGTTGCATGTCTTCAGTCTCTAATTATCTCTTGTAGCATTCCTCTAGTTATTGGCCACTTACTGTTGCATGTCTTCAGTCTCTCACAGCTTTCTGCAGCATTCCATTCACTGAATATTATGGCCCCTTGGTGATGTTAGGGGTCACACTTGAGGCCCCCTATATCCTATATCAAACAACCAGTTGACCACCACTAACTCTTCTCAATCTTATCCAAAACAAAAAAAAGAAGGTTTTGCCTTTAGATATACTTGTTGTTTTATGTCATGCAAACTACAGTAATCCATGGAAACCAAACAGATCTCAGCAATCCACAGACAGTTCCTACGGTTGCTGCATAGTTTCATATAATGGCACTACTTTCTCTTTTCTTGTATTGGGTTAGTACTGGTGTTTCTAAATAAAACATTCAGATTTGGATGTAAATAGCCATACCCAGTTTTCAAGGTGTGTCAAGGAGCAGTGTCTCCTTAATGCATGCAAACTACCCTACCCAGTCTGATCTGGATTCATCTCTTCCTCCTTTCACTTCCAATATGTTACGCAATACTGGCTACAGTACAAGAACAGCTTTGAAACCCTTATCCATCCATACAGGATTAATCTTGATCTGGTTGTCACATCTAAAATGGCTTCTTGGCCAAAATGAATGCAATCAGTTGTAAATATCTGTACAGCCTGTGGGGTATCCCTTATTATCATGGGGG